TCCACAGGAGGGAAGAAACATGTTTCTGTGTTTGAGTGACAGTGCAGATGTCACTGGCAGCCTGCAAATGCTCACAGCCACATCCTCCCTCAGAGCTCACCTGACCTGTGCCCAGTGACACTGGTGACCCCATTAACTCCCTCACACCACCACACGTGGAAATCCTACAACTCCAGACTCCCACAACTACTGGGCTGCAGACCTGGACACGATAAGAGACAATTAGAGTTTATGTTGCTGGCAATGTACGGAAGTTATCGAGGTAAAGGACAGGGAAATATGTATTTTGATTTCCTGGATGTAACAGCAAAGGGGGAGGTTGCTCTTATGAGACAGGAATGAAGCCTGAAGGTGAAAAGCACCAAGGCAATAACAAGATGTTTGTTCCTCAGCACAGATCATTTCCATACCTGTGTTTGCCATCCTGATTAATTAAGGAAAATCTATGAGGGCTTCTTTTATAATTAACTATGGGATGCACCCTTTTATGTTTTCCATCTCACAGCAGCACTCCGTTTTCCCCACACATCTTTGAGATGTTAAAATAAACTGAATAAACTTTGGCTTTGCCTATTGAGAGAAGCCTCTGATTAACCAGCTCAGTGGATAACTGAGATAGCATCTGCAAAACCAGAGCGCCAGACAAAAAGGGAGAGGCAGAACAAGCTGCAGATAAGACAGCATTTCAGATTAAAGGAATTCAGATAAACAGGATTTTAACTGACCTTAACATTTAGAGGCACGAACACGTCCCCCTGCAGATCGCTTGTTATTTAATCCCCCTGTAACAGCTGAAAGGTTACAAAAGACACACTTGCCCCAATTAACCTGAAGACTCATGAGAGGGAGGAGCAGAGCTCGGTGTGAAGAGCAGCCAGGCCTGTGGCTTTCCTTCTGTAAGCTGTCTGGGAGCAGGAGGTCTGACTGGGAAGAGGACGGACCCGGGTCTTGGAGGCAGGACGGGCACCGGCTGGGTCTGGCCTCCCAGAGAGCCCTCACCTGCCTCGAGTCAAGCACAAAGGAAACACCGCCAGAAATTAAAAGCCAGGCCAGCAGCCATGACTAAGTCAATTATTGAGGTTTGTACTGAGTGAACCAGCTGAAGGCTACGTGATTTTTACCAGCTGGTACCTGAGAAAGCTGTTTCTGGCACAAAACTTGCTGCCAGCAGCACCCTTGAAGAGGGAGGACCAGTCTGAGGGGGTTTGCAGTTCATCCTGCAAACCCCACATGGCTTGGCTGGAGCTGTCACCTCCAGGGCCACCAGCTTTGCACCCACCACAGGAACTTTGTCATCCATGTCCTCCTTGCTCCCCCCACAAGGCCACCAGGGCAGCTGGTCCTTTTCTGTCCATCTTCAGGTTATTTATTAAGAGGAGACTAATTGATATTTATGACCTTAACATTGTCACTGAGCACCCAGGAGAGAAGGCTGCACCTGGGAAAGATGAGACTGCTGCCTGCTACTCCAGGACCTGTTTGCTTGCAAAGGGCTTCCAAGAGCTGCTTCACCACAGGGCGTTTCTGTGCTTCCATTCCCTCCACGGATTCCGTGTGTGCAGGATCCCTAATTAACCAAATGCAATTAGCAGCCAAGCACTCCAACTTCAAGCATTTTCGTTCTAACCTAAATGTACACAACATAACACCTCTTCCACAAATGACTGGTATGTTGGGAGCTCTGAGGTACCTGTGCACACACACACAGAACTGCAAGCACAGCAGTGTCTGTGTGTAAAATGCACAGCAGAGCAGGAGCCAGAGACCCTTATTAATCCTTAGAAAACAGTCTGAGCAGTCAAGACTTGATCCTTTGAGGGCTACACTTTTCCTTTTTGAATCAGCAGTAGATATGATCATCTCTCCTTTGGATTTCCAGGGTACTATTTGTAGGGGTGAGGTTATGTGGATGCAGTGCTGGTGCAAGCTGGAGAACTCCATCCAGTGCAAGGCTGAGCCCTTGGTGTTACTGCATCCCACATTTCCTTCATGTGGAGGGAACTCACCTGTGCATCAGGTCACAGATCTGATTTTGGCCAACATTTGAACAAGTTTCACTTTGCACCACATGAGAGCCTTTATCCAATGTGTTTTTTGACTTTTAAGCACAAATGTCCTGCTTGTTCTGCTTCCTCTGAAGGCATTTGTGATTCCATGTGCCTGTGTGCTTGGCTGAGTAATTTTCAGCAATAGCACCAGGGTTCAATCATCTCTAGATCTGATCTAACTCCTGCCTTTGGCTGCACACATGCAATTCCCTACGGAACTCAATGGAAAGGGAATATGCACGTCTCGGAGCAGCCTGTTGCCAGTGTGCTTATTTATGCATCCAGCTGCCTTGCACAGCTTTGTGATCTCCTGGCTGATATGTGGGAATCTCTTCATCATCTTCCCATCTGCCAGGTACACTCAGCTCCTGGAAATTACCTTCCCCAGCTGGTACCCACAGGAGGTCACTGTCCTCAATAAGAGTCTTGATGGGTGGCAGTCATGACATCATAAAAGGATGGCAGACTGCTATTAACTTACATTGTGTGCTCCTCTTGACAGGCCTCCTTCCTTCCTCTCCCAGTCCTCCTCCATTCCCTTACCATCCATCAGTCCCTGAAGGTTTATATGAGGAACATCTTGAAACCTCTTTAAAGAAAATGGGTTCAATCTTCCCCTTGATCTTTACATAAAACACCGACATCAAGAGGGAGTCCCACGTCTGGGATGAACACACAGAATATGCTGGTTTCAGATGAAGTTTTGTGGCTATTAGGATCAGAAAGCCACGTGAATTCTGTGTCTGGTGTGAGTGGGCAGGAAAACCTTCAGATGTTCCATGATCCTGAACTTTTCTGATCTTTTTCAGGCCATGCCTAATTAGTACCAAATCCAGAAAGCAAAAATTTCAGCCTGAATTATTTATCACCTCATATTTATAAAATGCACTGCAATACACATCATGGCCCAGTTCACAACAACTGCAGATAAGATTAATCTTGCACTGATGCCACACTCCTTAATATGAAAATATAATTATCTAGCTGAAGAGTTTCTTAAATTACATACTTTCAAACTAGTATGAGCAGAATGTATCCTTGTGTCTGGTGCTAAGCCAAGTGGAAAAAACATTGGAAGGAGAATTGACAAAACACATGTTGGCTCTGTCTATCAACATTTCCACCTTACACGGCCCTGTCAACCTCTCAACTCCAACTGGGTCTTGGATATGAACATAATATTTTCCTCCCTGAAATGTGATCCTGAAGAAGGAGTTCCAGAACTGCAGGGGCACATTGAAGGATAAAGTGCTTAGGCTGCAGCTAATCCCCTGCAAGGTAATACACATTTATCTTGCCCAATATGGAAATTAAAAGAAGGAGGACATCAGAAATTACTTTTACCTTTACTTAGAGTAATTAGTATCTGCAGGTGAAGTTCATTTACAGATGTGCATGGGAGTAAGCACAAAGTATTTGTTGCAAATGCCTTCGAGAAAAAGCCACCCTTTCAGTCTGCACAGCCTGCAAAGTTCATTTCCTGCAGTTTCCTCTGGAATGCTACCTCCAGAAGGATGTGTAATAAACTTTAAGAATAAGTGTGTATAAATATCTCTCTTCAATTTATTGTACTTCTAAAAACCATTTTCTCCCTTGAAGAAACTCACAATGGCTACAGGAAAAGCCCACCAGCTGTTTCTCTGCTGATCATCAATAATGCACAGGAGAGTTGTAAAGCCTGATAGATGGATATATTGATGGCAAAGAGAGATGAATGCACTCCAGCCAGCGAGGAAGGCAAGGGGATGGAGGAGGGGATACTAGTGAGATTATAAAATGGATTTTCTTGGAGGAAAAATGCCCTTTTCAATGCAGGCCCAGTATCTTTAAAAAGTAGCTTTGTTGTAAGCAATGTGCAGAACGTCCTATTTTTACAATTTTATTTACTTCTTAAAAGATTATTTCCATTGTCTGTTCTGGGCATAATTTCACTGCTTTTGCTTCATGCTGCTGGGAGCTGAGTGTGTGTCCTCTCCACCAAAAACAGAAGGCATGCATTGCTTTGAGGCATAAACAAAGGGGAAAGGTGACAGGATCCCAAACCCTGGCTGCCTGACCAGCCTGCCTTGCTCCACACATTCCTTCAGCTTGGTACTTGTTTGAAAAACAATTAAATTTTCCAAATGACTCGCTGTTAATATAAATGCAATTTGACTGTCAGTGCCACTGGTGGTTCTGCAGTTATGGGCAAGAACAGAACTTTATCTCCCCCCAGGGCCTCGACAGAGAGCGGAGGGACATTAACCAGCATTTCAGGCAGCAAAGTGTGAAATACTGGTTGGGTCAATAACTTGCCCCCCCACTGCTGTTGTGTCAGCTGTCAAGGGCTGGCAAAGAGACCATCAGTGTGGAGTCAAGTGCAGGTCTAATTGCACTGAGATCTCCAGCCTGGACTCTCCGACTTCACGGAATTTTCCTCTCTGCCGCTGTATCACCACAGCAGCACTGATCTGCTCCCTGTAACTGCCCTTCTGTGTGACAAGAAGCATAGGAAAATGGGGAAAAACCTGAGTTTTGTAGGATGGAGCAGCTGTATCGACTCTCAGCATTCAGAAAAGCCCCATCTGCATCCCAGGTACGACGTTCCCGGGATCTGCCGGCCCACAGCTGCACCCCCGTGGAAAGGGCTGTTCAAGGAGAAAAACTCTGCAGGATTTCCAGCTGATCTGCATTCCTCCTGAGGATGCTTTTCCAGAAGGCTAACATCTGGCTCCAGGTTTGGAGCCATCTTCAACTCATCTGAATACAAATTTAATGAATGCCAATTATCGTCACCATCACCAGTGATTCAAACATGGGCGAGTTCAGCTGATCTTGTCTCAGTCTATTATTTAAAAGGTTACAGTCACAAGTCCAGTGCTATAAATGATGCAACAGCAAAGTGAAACAACTCAACAAACCCCCCAAAATCAAGAAACCCCCAAGGTTTACCAAGGTAATTCTTAATTTTACCTGTCCAGCCTGCGAGGCAGCAGCAGTACCCAGTGACAGGGTCACACCCATCGGCGTGGTTACAGTCACAACGCTCACTGCAATTAAGACCATATGTTCCATCCTTCAAAAATATAAATAAAAAAAAGCCTCTCAGTAATCAGTTTTTTGTTCTGAAATGTGCAAAAGCATCTATCATGTCCCTCTTAATGCTGAGTCGCATCTTTTAAATTAACATACAGAGAAGATAGAAACTCAGTGCCTAATGTTTCTATACAGAACCAAATGAAGAATCACTTTAAAAAATGATGCTCAAGAAAATGCAGATAACACAGCAACAGCTCTGATAAAATATAATGCAAAGTATAATACATCCACTCAGCTGCTAGAACCCCAATTTGTTATTTACACATGATTTCCTTCAGACATCGCCAGGCAAAATGAGATGCTGCCCTACTCTGTGTTCAGCAGGGCTGTGGTTTAAAGGGGGTGCAAGAGCACCCCAGTGGTACTCCCAGGGCAGGGCTGGGCACAGAACTGCCCCAGTGGTACTCACAGGGCAGGGCTGCTCACAGAACTCCCCCTGCCATCCCGGGGAGCAGAGGCAGAAGCCGTCTGCTGGCCTGCAGGCAGCTCCGTTGGTGCAGGAACACGTCTGGTTACAGTTCAGACCCCAACTTCCACTTGAACATGGAATAGAGCAATCCACTCCTTGCCAGCCTAAAGAAACAGAAAGACAAAGAGCATTTGGGATGTTTTCATGAAAAAAGTGAGGTAGAGACAGCAAGAAAGGCAGCAGCAGCTCTGTGATTCTAGGACCGTTTTCTTAGCGTAAATTAAGACTGTTTTGGGGTCAAAGATTGACCCTTTTATTATGACCTCCCAGCTTCATCTCTCAGCACCTGTACATGCAGAGGGGGATGGATGAAGGTGTCACTGTGTTGGCTCTTACCAGATTAAGGTCTCTGGTGCCTCTCTGGGAACTGCTGGGGCAGCACAAGAGAGGCTGTGCTGCCTGTCAGGCTGCAGACCTGCTGACCCCTGGGGATGCAAGAAACTTGCCATTTGATGCTGCCTGTTTCTTGCCTCCTATTTTATCTCTTTTTTTTTGACAATGCTATTTAATATAAAGCAGCTATTACACCTAAAAAAAGACCAAGGCCATCATTTCTAGCCATTAAGGCTCAAATCTTAACTACCAGCCACACAATGACTTTCATTACACTGCAGCTGTATGTAATGGAGTTGAGCAGTAACTCATGGTTTATAATCCCTCATTAAATGGGGTTCTACAGTGATCCATTAATTCATGTTTGAAATGCCAGATTTTATCGTTATTTGCCTCACTCCTGGTTTAGGGCTCATGTGTGTCAGACAGGCATAGCTCACGTTGGGATTCTGGGGGAACATAAGAGACACTGCTGTGGAGCATGCAAGATTTCTCAGGGGATTGCTGGATGGATACATGGCTTATGCTCACCACCAAGCACATGAGGGAATTATGGACATATGGGGGAAGAAAAGATGTCAGTCTTGCAGAGAGACTCTGGAGCAGGTAAGACTTCTTGTTTCCCCAGATAAAAGACCCCTTGCATGCTCAGGTGACAGAGGACACCTGCACATGGCTGGGGTGTCCCAGTGTCAGGGCACAGGGAGGATTGGCAGCTGAGGGTGGCAGCAAGGGCAGAGAGCCAGGGCCCACCCCACAGTCCCAGCGTGGGGCTGGCAGCTGGGGTCAGCCAGGAGCCCAGATCAGCAGGACTGGGGCCAGCCCAAGGTTGAGATGGGCAGGCAGTCTGCAGGTCAGGCCAGGTCTGGGGAGGATAAACATGGCCAGGCACAGAACAGAGCAATGGGATGGAGGAAAGACAGGCAGGAAGCTGCCTCTGCCCCTGTGCCCAGTGTGCCACTCCAGGCAGGGAGGGAGAACAGGGGCTTTGCAATCCTGGAGAAACAGGGCAGCAAAGGGATAAAGAAAACCATCCCAATGATCTGGGCATTGCTTTGCATTTCCTCTGGAGAGGGGCTGTGGCTCTGCCAACACACTTAGTTCTGTGACCTTTTCCTGCAGCAGAGCAGGGAAGTCTGGCCCCTGCTTAAGGCAGAAACAAAACATCCAGTCAAGCCCCTGTTGAGCTTGGATACTTGGGCAGACAAGAAAATAGTGGGGTTACTGACTGCACAGCTGTGCCACTTCAAAAGGGGAGAAGCACTGATGCCAAATTGCCAACAATGGCTAAATCCTAATTTTGTTTACCTTCTTTGCAGTAGCACAGCCCGTCCACAGGGGAACAGGCACCGTCGTTCTTGCAGTTACAAACTGAGGAGCAATTGGTTCCGTAGGTTCCTGCCATGCAGGTAATGGTGCAGTCCTCTCCCTGCAAACCCAAAAAACCCCAGAGTCAGCTCAAGAAATCGGGATTGCAGGAAATTCCCATCTCGGCACAGGGAGCCTTTCTCTCTCCACACAGAGAGCAGAGAGTTGTGAGTTGATTGCTGAGTCTTCAGCACTTGAGCAGTCACTGCTGCTTCCCCTGATTATGATGCAATTAGTGCTTTGATTGACTTGGAGGAAAGGGACAAGTTTCTGGCATTCGTTCAGCGGGAGGTGGGGAAGTTACAAAAACAAACCTCCTAGAACAGATGTTAGATCATTAAGCAAAACATCACTTACGAAACACTAATCACAAAATATACAGTCTGAAACCATGCAAAGATTGCTCTGCATTTCTGGGGAAATATATTCCAAGAACAGGGTTGTTAAAAAGCTAAAGGATCTCGTGCATGCTCATCTTGCACAGATTGGCAGAGAGGAAAACGACATGGCAGGTGCATCAGAGCTTTTTGATGCATAGCTGGTACCTGCACTTGTTTTCAATTAATTTGCATGAGATTGGGACTTTAGGAAGAAGGTTGAACAGGAGGGATGTGTATGTCAGAGAGAGAAGGCACACAGCAGAACACATGGGCCCTGTCCTGTTTCTGCTCCAGGTGTGGGGAAAGAGAGGGAAAGGAGAGGAAATACTTACATTTTACAGAAATATAGCATATTTCAGCACTACATTCTGGTAACACTGTATGCACTGATCAACTTGTGTGGTAACACTGTATGCACTGATCAACTTGTGTGGTTGAGAGACATAATTCTTACCAATACTGTTCGTCTGATACAACAAGGGAATTAAAATATGAGCACAATAAGATTTAAAGGAATTTGGTTTAACCTCACTAAATGAGGTTTAAGCCTTAATAAACTAAGTGCCATGGTTGGGCCTACACACATTAGCATATACAAGGTATTTTTGATTCTTTGTGTAGTCCTGCCTTTCACATCACAAACTAGCTCCTAAATTTACTACTTCCGTGAGTCACTCTTTAATGACTTAGTTCTATGTCAGAGAAAGAGAACCTACTCCAGGTTAAAAAGCACCTACATTGCATGGTGTGACCAATACCATAGCTCAGGGGAAAAGACATTGGTCAAAATGTGTTTTTGCAGGTGAGAGGCTTTGCTGTTTGACAGGAGGATCCATTTATCAGGAGATAAATGCACACCACGTCAGGTTCCCTGTGTCGTGGCAAGTTACCTCCAGGAGCCTGTACATCACACATCAGACACTGAGACAGCAAAAGGAAATATGGACAGATTTCTGAGCACCATAAACCCCCCTATGCTTTCTACAGCAGTTCTGCCTCACACCACTGTGACTCATCCTATTTTCTACAAAAAAGTCTGGGTCTGGGGGAAGCAAAGGAAATGGTTAAATATGTGCTGCTCACAAGCAAATCCTGCAAGCCCCTGACTTTTGAGCGAAAGATGCTATCTTTGACCTTGGTGGAGTAAAACAAGCTCCCCTGAAAAGGCCTGGCAGGAAAAGATGCTGCCTCGACAGCCAGCGAATCCAAAGCACGCTGCCCCTCATTACCCTGCCAGCATGCCCATGGAATGAGCTCCAGGAAGCTGGGCTGGCAGAGGGGCACTCAGCCTCCACGCCTAATCAATCCTCTGCCTTTCTCCTGTGTGTGACAATTAGACAGCCAATTAGTGCCACTTAGGGACCCAGACCATGTGTGAATGAAACTCCCAACTCATTCCACGTCCGACACAGGGCTGCTGGTACTGCCAATAATTTCTATGACAACTGACCTTATCTGGATTTGAACTAGTGATCCAGAAGGAGAAGAAAATTCCTTTGAAAAGGAAAGTGGAGCAGAGTGATGTGGAGCTAAAATATCCCCTTGGGAAGCAGATTAACCAACCAGAGACTCACAGACTCACCAAGACTGGAGAAGACCTTCAAGATCACCGAGTCCAACCATCCATCACCCCTAAACCGTGTCCCCAAGTGCCACATCCAGATGCCTCTAAAACACCACCTGGGCCAGGGGTGGAGGCAGCAGGTGGAAATCCACCTGCTGGATTTCCATTCCTCAGCTGATGTTCTGTGACTGCAGAGCAGCTCCTTTGGGGGTCAGTTCTTCCTGGCCCAGGGCCCAACGGGGGTGGATTCTGTGGTTTTCCATAGTCAAACACACTTTGGGCATCCCAAAGCAAAGGGATATAACTCCCTGAAAGGAGGTTGCAGTGAGGTGAGTGACAGGACAATAAGGTGAGGGAGTGGCCTCAAGTTGCACCAGGGGAGGTTTAGATTAGATGTTAGGAACAATTTCTTCACAGAAAGGGGTGGAACAGGCTGCCCAGGGCAGTGGTGGAGTCACCATCCTTGGAAGTCTTCAAAAAACATGTGGATGTGGCACTTGTGGACATGGTTTAGTGGTAAACACAGTGGTGGTGCTGGGCTGACAGTTGGACTTGGTGGCCTTAGAGGTCTTTTCCAACTTTAAAGATGATTCTGTGATTCTTACAAGCTGAACATCAGGCTGTTCCATCTTTATTCACCATGGCTTTGAGTTCTGGCATTTACTTTAATGTGCTTTATTTTATGGACTAACAGAGGCTGGGCATTCTGGCTGCCCACCACCTACACACTTACTTTGCAAACAAACCTAAACTGAAAAAAAATACCTGGCTTAATGAGATTTCTATCCCCAGGTTTGACAAGCGAGACCTTCAGAGCTCTCTGAGTGACAACTGCCAAATACACTTAACTTCTTAATTACATAAGAGGAAAATGCACTTGAACTATAGCACTGGCTCTAAGATTTTATTAATTATAAATGCACACCCTGTTATTAACATTTTGAACTTGATTTGGGAGAATGACCTCGGAAATTAAATGCATTCAGGTACTGTTAAAGATATGTAAATTCTCCCTCCCTCTCAGCACCTGCCCAAGTGGATAATGCTGCAGTACAAGTCTATCCAGCTGTTAATGAGTTATATATTCTAATAAACTGATTTCAAATGTGCTGTATTGAATCTTCACTCTTGCAATATGGCACTTTATATTTCTATCCTATTTAGTAAAATTAATCAACAGCTGTGCTCCTTATGTTGATTATTCTCTTTTTTTCTATTAAGATCGGGAGGTTAATGAGGACAGTAAATGCCTGGATGTGGTATCCCTGCTAGGAAGGAGTAGCTAATTCAATCAAACATATACCCCTGAAAATGTTAAAGTTGTGATAAGAAACTGAGCTATAAATAACTTGATATTTTACATCTCTATTATCCAAGTCAGAATGACCCATATGGACATCACAAACTTTCCAAAGTGTTTCATTTTCTTCATCATTTTCACTTAGAAGGCCCAGCCAATCAAAACTTCCCCCTGACATCTATCCAATGTATTATTTCTAATTTTAGGGGTCAAATCTAACATAAATGATGGAAAACTACTGGATGTGGGGTCAGGGCCAGCTCTGGGAAATGCCCTGCTGGCTGTGGAGCAGCTCATTCCTGCCCCCTGCTCTGCATCACACACCTTCCAGTGTGGGAGGGGCCACCAAGGATGGGGTGTCCCACAAACCCACAGCTGCTCAGTGAGCCTCCTTCTGTTTGAAATCCAGACCTGATGGGAGCACCTCAATCCTGTGACCCTAAAGGTGACCAAAAAGACCCCTTTAAATCAGAATGAATGGTGGCAGGGATGTAAACAGCCCCACCTGTGACATTCCATGCCTGTAAGTACTTCAGAAACACTCCCTGTTGCTGTTACTCACAGCCCTTCCCAGCACCCCGAGAGGTTTGGGCAGCCAGTCCTTGTGTTATGGTTAATTCTCCCCTATGGATTGTGGGTGAGGTCCAAGGAACCAAACCCCATTAATAACTCAGCTGCCAGCTCACATCCATCAGCATCAAATATTAATAGACTCCGAGGGCCAGGGCATTCATCTTTCCCAATGGCAGTCAATAATATGTCTTGTTTCTGTTCAGGGAGAGAGGGGAAGATTTTCTTCCACCAAAATTATTATTGTTCAATATTAGTAGAGCTTAAAGACACAGTGCTGCCTTAGGTGTTTGCTGTGTTAACAAGCTCTGGCCGCTCCAGAAAGTGTTTTCCCTGGATTAATGTTGCCCTAACAGATTACATTTCTTGTTTCTGTTTAAAGTACATTCCTGCTGTAAACAACAACCAACTCCCTTTAAAATCCTTTCCTGGTGATCAATACACAGACTTGTATTTATTCCTGTACATTTTGGATCAGGCCTTTCAATCTCTGAAATGCATTATCACAGGGGGGAAAAAAAGCACTGCAGACCAATAGGGGAGTTAATAACCCAGCAATGGTCAACAACACCCAGCAAAGTCTGCACCCATACCTGGTCTATCTATCTCAAAGTCTGACTATTTAAGGATGTGAAATTAAGGATTTCAGAAGCAGCAACAATCTACAGGAATACAATTCCCTTGGAGGGCTAAAGCCTGGTTCCACTGAACTCAGTGGCAAAACAGAAAATCAATTTTTCAAGGCTTCCGCAATGCAGAAGAGTAACAGGATGTTATTGAACTTGGCCTCAAGTTTGCATGACAAAGACCTGTGTGACAGGTTTGCTCTTGAGGTTTAATCTGTCAAGGTGTTGAAAATCCTCCACTCCTGCAGATTACTGGGGGGGGGGACTGACAGCACTGAAAGGCAAAATACTGGAACCTTTGGTAGCCTGCAATGGGACTCCAGCTAATGGGAGATTTTTAGGGGTGTGTGATTCCCTCCCTGCCCCTCCCTGTGTGTCTGGGCAGGTGAATTAGAGGTGCAAGCCCTGGCACAGCCACGCTTGGTGCTCAGCGCTGAAGGGGAAGAAGGGCACGGTGCAGTGCCTTCTGTGTGTAACAATACACAGAGCAGAGACACCAAAGGCTGGGGCTGTTTGTACCTGATGCCTGTGAGCCCAGATAAGCAGCTCAGCATGGATTTAGCACCTGAGAGCGTCTATTCCTATGTACACACGTTCCGTGGGACGCCGGCGTGCCGGGAC